ACAACACAACGGAAACAAGCCGCAACACAACAAAATTAGCACAACACAATGGAAACAAAGCGCAACACAACGAAATTAGCACAACGATGAAAACCAGTCGCAACACAATGAAATTAGCACAACACAACGGAAACAAGTCGCAACACAACAAAATTAGCACAACACAACAGAAACAAGTCACAACACAATGAAATTAGCACAACAATGGAAACAAGTCGCAACACAATGAAATTAGCACAACACAACAGAAACAAGTCGCAACACAACGAAATTAGCACAACACAACGGAAAAAAGCCGCAACACAACAAAATTAGCACAACACAATGGAAACAAGCTGCAACACAACAAATTTAGCACAACACAATGGAAACAAGCCACAACGGAAAAAAGCCAAAACACAACAAAATTAGCACAACACAACGGAAACAAGCCGCAACACAATGAAATTAGCACAACACAACAAAATGAGTCCTATGCATTATGTTGTGCACTACTGGTCCACCATAATTATCAATGTTGAAATTAATATAATATTTAAACTGCTAAATATTTTTATGATACGAGATACATTTCTTTCAGGATTCTTTTAATGAATAGAATGTCTAAGGGAGCAGTATTTATTTGAAATAGAAGTATTTTGTAACATTATGTCTTTACTGCCTTTTGATCAATTTAATATGTACTTGCTGTATAAAAGTATTTATTTCTTTAAAACAATTACTGACAGCAAACTGTTTGAACGGTAGTGTGTATTATAAAAAAAATAGTAAATACAGTTTCTTATAAAAAATTGCTTAAGAAAAATCCCAAAAATTGCATTTTATGTGGAAAATGGTAAATTCCAGGTCTAGTCATACAAATTGATAAAATCCTAAAAATATATATATATATTTTTTTTTACAAATCTAGTTATGTTGAGCTCTAAATTATTTCATCTGCAAGACATTTCAGTACAATATATATAGCAAGTACAAATTTTTTTATAGTCATGCTGTTTTTTAGTGAAACATTGCTGTGTGTGTCCTATTTATATAAAGTGCTTTCCAAATATCCATTCATTATAAACTACTAGAAAGTCATGGAAAAAATCGTTGGAATTCATTGTATTAACATTTCACTTGAGAAGTCTGTAGAAAAGAACCCATTAAAACAGTTGCATAAGCTTTAAACCCTAGACAGTAATAGACACACTGAACTATAAGATGCTCTGTTCTCATGTCTTATCCCTCTGGTTTTCCCTGCAGCGGAAGCACCAGGAGATTCGTGCCATGCGCAGTCAGCTGAAGAAGATCGAGGATCTGGGAGCAGCTATGGAGGAGGCGCTGATCCTGGACAACAAATACACAGAGCACAGCACCGTGGGTCTGGCCCAACAGTGGGACCAACTCGACCAACTGGGCATGAGAATGCAACACAACCTGGAACAACAGATCCAAGCCAGGTGACACTTCTCAAACCAGTCCTTAATATTTTTTCATTATATTATACGATATTATATTATAACATTTTTTATAAAAATACATTTTTATTATAATACAATTTTGTAGTTTTTTATATATTGATGTTTTTATTGTTATTTAATAGTTCATTTTGTAACATGTAATTTTACTTGTTCTATTTCTTGCACTCCTCTTTTAGAAACACTACAGGAGTAACAGAAGAGGCCCTGAAGGAGTTCAGCATGATGTTCAAGTGAGTAATCCACTTGAATGAAAATCAAATCGCAAATGCTAAACTCAAGCATTCTTGAAAATGTAACAAATGTTTGTTTCTCAGGCATTTCGACAAAGAAAAATCTGGACGTCTCAATCACCAGGAGTTCAAGTCCTGCCTGCGGTCTCTGGGCTATGACCTGCCCATGGTTGAAGAAGGAGAACCAGACCCAGAGTTTGAGTCCATCCTGGACATAGTGGATCCGAACAGGTTAGAAACATCATCTGTGGATGTGATACATATTCTGTGTTCTTTCTGTCATGGAGCTAACATCGGTTTGTTTTGTTCAGGGATGGAAACGTGTCCTTGCAGGAGTACATGGCCTTCATGATCAGCCGAGAAACAGAGAACGTGAAGTCAAGCGAGGAGATCGAGAGCGCTTTCCGTGCTCTCAGCGCCGAGAACAAACCTTACGTCACCAAGGAAGAACTCTACCAGGTACCATTTACAACTGGTATTGGATCAATATCAAACTTTTGGCCTCTCTTTCATGTTTGGTGGTAGAAAGATGGTCTTAATGACCTTCTGTGTGTTTACAGAACCTGACGAAGGAACAGGCAGACTACTGCATTTCTCATATGAAGCCCTACTTAGACAGCAAGGGCCGCGAGATCCCGTCAGCTTTCGACTTTGTGGAATTCACCCGCTCGCTCTTCGTCAACTGATTCCCCGCCCCCTGCCTGCCAGTGACCAATCGGGATGCGTTTTTCCCCCTTCACAAGAACACACAACCAAACTGCATGGATCTGAATTGAAATTCTCTATAGCACCCAGTATAGCAATATTTGTATCTTGCTATCACTCTTAACCCTGCGTATTTATCTGACACTTCCTCATGCTTCACTGACAATAGTGTAGTGGATCTGTCTGCATTTTATTGTGGTTGTTTAACTGTTAAGCGCTTTGCTTTATTTAACAAACCTATAGAGAGGATATGCTGTAACATCACCCATGAGACTGCAGTGTGCTTAAATAAACGCTACTGGTTATAACTGGAAGGAGTTGTCAAGTGTTTTTATTTTACGGTGTAAATGTACAATTGAAGATACATAAAAAAATTAGTTTTAAGAACACTCAAGCCAGACAGTTTCTAATGACAAAGTTAAAACAGACTCAGTCTGCCACCTCATTGGCCAGCTGTTCCAGCATTGCCATCTCCTTGGCACCTTGTTCCGTTAACTCGGCACTAAGCTGCCAGATGTTGATGCTACCATCTGCATTGCCCACTGCCATCAGATTTGTGTGTTTGGGGTTGAACTCCAGGCAATAAGTTGGCTGACCGCTTGTGTTCTGGTCAATTGTGGCAACTGGCCTTAAAGACCTTCGACCCAAATCAAACATTTGAACCAGTCCTAAAAATTATGGAGAAAAAAACAAGTAAAATGTAAAATACGTAAAATTAAGGAGGAAAAAATATAAAAATTGCAGTTTGGAGAATTACAAACATCTCACCCTGTCCTGTGGCTGCAGCAAAGACTAGAGGGCGTGTGGGTGACCACCGCACCCCAAACGTATAGGAATCAGACACCCGTAGAGACAGCAGGGGACGGGGCTGGAGCACAGTGCGCAGATGAGCCAAACTATCTGTCCCAACACTTACAAACAGATTCCTAAAAATCAGAAACACCAGATGTTACAATTACCAATTATCCTTAAAGTAGATATTATACTAAGTAAATAAAGCACAAAAAAATACCACAAAGCTCACCTATGGAATGGTGAGAAGTGGACTGAGTGTACTGGGCCCCCTCGTGGTGAGAAAGAGAATTGCACTGGGGCCCGCAGTGTCACGCTCTCACCATCAGGGGGCCCTGCTGCCACTGTCTCACTGCTGAAAGAGCATTTGAGCACAAGGCCTCCCTCGAGCCCACCAAGAACGTGTCCAGGTCCCACGGGGAAAGTGCAACAGAGGTTACTCCTATATTGGTGATACCTCGGGTCTTCAGGGAGAGACAATTGTATTGTATTATTAGAGTAAAATGCGCAAAAATATGGCATGGTCACATTTCATCCCAAAATCAAAAGATTATTATTATATTATATTTATATATTATAATATATTATATTGCACTGTGAAAAAACTGCATTATAACAGTAAAATAAATATTGCCATAATATATATAAATTTCCTTACAAATGACATACTATATATTTTTTATCGTCACATACCAAGGTTATTATAGCTAAAAAGTAGTTACAAATAAATCATTAAAAAAAAAACATTTTTGTTACTTGTTATAAAATAAACAGTAAATGAATTGATGTAAAACAAATAAATAAAACTTATTTTATTTCAGCTAGTTGTCAAAGCAACATTTCTCATTTTCATTTTAGTTTTACCTGATGTACTAAAATAACTAAAACTAAATAAAATTCATTGAATTCAATAATTTTTCTTAAATTATAATATCTATATAGACGTATTTAAAAAAAATAAAACAGACAAAAACACACAACACAATTACTAAAATTTTGCGAAAATTTAAATGAAAACAAAAAATGCAAAAAAAAAAACATTTCAAAATATTACAAAAAAAACTATAACATTGTCTTGATACAAAAATAACATTGTCACATTCTATACAGTAAAAAAAAGTTGGTCAAAAATGTGTTTATCATATAAAGTAAAAAAAATAATATTAAAAATTTAATCATTAATGTAATTTGCTATATTTTGAGATCAAATATAACTTGTATATGACAGGCTTTTTGAGATTTACCAGGTCATGAAAGTTATAATTAATTAGCACATTCTTTTTCTCATTCTGATTTATGTGGGATCATTACAATAACGATTAGATATCATATCTAAACTGAATTACATTCATTTGTGTAAAAACCATGTGGTTCATTAGGGTAATATGTTCATTACATCATCTTCACAAAGAAAAATGCACAGATTGTAATTTTTACAAAATAATTTTTTTGCCAAGACCATACTGTGACACACCCACTTTGCTTGCTGCTCCACTCTGAGGCACTTGCTGTTGAACAAGAGCATATCCAGAACTCAAGATGAGTTTGGCTTCAGCTCCATCAACAGTCCACAACAGAACTCTTCCTCCTGACCCGGCGCTCAGTAAAGTAAACTCTCCTCTGCGAGGCCCTGGGACCCAGCTGACCTGTGCACACAGAAATACTCTGCGTGTATGACTCACTGAATGCTTATTCATCATGTTTCAGTCACAGACGTTTTATTTAATAGGTTAAATACCTGATAAACTGGTTCACGTGAGTATCTGCAGACATTCCCGTCTGAGACAGAACTGAGGTCCTGTGAACGGCTGGTGTCCCAGACCAGCACCTCACCACTGTACAGCCCCCCTAATGACACCATAAAGAGGACCACTGGAAATGAGCTTGATGAAATGAGCCATCAATATTTATTTGTCCCTAATAAAGTTTCGATTCCACTTAGGAATATAATTGGCAAAAACTGCAGTATGGAAATACTTGGAGAATATCACTTGCACAAATGGATTTTTTTTTTTATGAGACTGTTGATATATACTGTTTATATATATATATATATTTTTTTTTTTAATTTTGGCCAATTCAAAGGTTCAAAAGAACAGCATTTATATGAAACATATATCTTTTGTAACATTATAAATTAATTTACTGTCACTTTTGATCAATTTAATGCATACTTGCTAAATAAATTTCTTTCAAAAAGAAAATCTATCTATCTATCTATCTATTTATCTCTATCTTTAAAGGGGTCATATGATGCTGCTAAAAAGAACATTATTTTGTGTATTTGGTGTAATGAAATGTGTTTATGCGGTTTAAGGTTAAAAAAACACATTATTTTCCACATACTGTACATTATTGTTTCTCCTCTATGCCCTGCCTTTTTGAAACGCGTCGATTTTTACAAAGCTCATCGGTCTGAAAAAGCGAGGTGTGCTGTGATTGGCCAGCTATCCAGAGCGTTGTGATTGGCCGAATACCTCAAGCGTGAGACGTAAATGAGACAAAAACGTTAAAACCCATTACAAACGAGGCATTTGTTGCATCCAGTGGGCACATAATTACTGATTATAATGACTTATAGTGTCTTACTCTTAACTTTTATAAAGAATATCTCTTTGGATTTGAGACTTTAGTCTTTGCAACTTTACAGATCTTCTTTATGCACCAAGAGCTTGTGACACTCCAAAGAGAAAGGAAAAATTGAAATCACATCATATGACCCCTTTAATAGTGGTAGTTGTTTTACTGCCTCTAATATTGCTAATTTAAAAAGTATTTAAAATTAGCTCATTTAAAAACATTGCATCCAAACAGGATGATTTTTTATTTCTGTATTTCTGTATTGTTTAACTGACGCAACATGATGAAAAATAATTTCACAATGCCAAAACTTTCCATTTTATGCAAAATTTTAAGCTTCAATTTCTTTATGCAAATAATTCACATTTGATGTTTTTTTATTTTCCATTTTGAGGTAAAATATGAACCTAGACGTGAATGTGTGTGTGTTTCACTCTTTAAGATATATATTTTTTTAATGTAAAGCATTTGATTTTGTAAATGTGTGTCCATACCAGCCACTACAGACGGTTTCAGAGGATGGAAGCACAGACACATGACTGGAGTGACCACGTCTATGATCACATCCGGCCGCTTTGGGTTCAGCTTCTGTCGGTCCAGGTTCCATATGCACACATAAGCCTTCTCATTGCTCCAATCACCATCATCCACACTAACCCCCAAAAAACAACATTAACATTACGAGTCCAGCAGGTGGTTTTATGTGTCTGTATGGGGAAAGGGCTGTTACCGGCCAAATCCACAACCTATGACGGAGCCGGTGCAGTTCCAGGACACACTGGTGACTTGCAGACCCCCTTCCTGAGCATCAACATGCTGAAGACGGTACATGCAGGACACCTGCGCAAAAAAATCACCAGTTGTAAGATAAGTTGTAATACAATTATTAATATATTTTGCATTCGAGGCTCTCGCTGACTCATTCTGATCCTCCCAGTTCACTTCAAACCCATCAAAAGCATGACTCTTGGAGTTTTTCACCAGTTCTTTGGTAACTACGTCTTCAGCTCTATGCAAGAAGTCCAGCAAACCAGGAAAGTGAGATATGTTTTGATCTAGGGAGAGTGTTTGACTGATCTGGTCTTGTGTCTGGGTGCTGTTGTCTAACACATCTTTGGCTTGTGTTTCAGCCTCTGCTGTGTGAACTGGAAGAGTTTGACAGCTTCTCTGTGCGGGAATAAAAGATACGATATGTCATCACACAAAAGGACTGATATTTACAAGAGCATGAATATTCTGGTTAGAGAAGGTAAGCAAACTTTTTCACTTACTGATTCTTGTGTTTGCTGATGTGACTTTCTCCACGTCGATTCAGCACCAATTAAATCAAGAGTTTAATCCGTGAACATGTTTAACATGTCTCACACTTTATCTCAGAAAAAAAAGGTATATGTTCATATCTCTACAAAATGTTTTGTCTCAAGACGTTACAGTTAGCTTTGAGCTAGCGATTATTTTTCATAAAGCACGATTTTCTGGTTATTCATCATATTTACAAACTGTTTTATGTTGGGCGAATCAATATCTGCTTCTATGATGGGAAAACACTTCTTATCGCTAATTTTGCACGCTATTTTATTGTATTTGGCCACTGCACACAGTGTTGTTCATTCCTCCATTATAACCCTAGACGTAACATCCGTGACGACGCTGCCATGGATACCGTGAGCCAATCAATGATTGGCTGTCTGCTGTACGTCACTGGTGTTAGCTTCTGATTGGTCAACCGACTTTCCGCAGTTTCATTTTGAGCGGAGCGCACACACATAGAGCGGGATAATACGCAGAGCGTCACACCACGTGACAGTGAAACCTAAGCGGTGAACTAATTTTCGGCAGCCGAAATTTCGGTGTATCTCTAATTATTGGCGACATCAGAAATTGATATTATATAATCGATGCTTTTTAAAAACATTTTAGCAATTTAAGAATATTAAAAAAT